CAATGGATTTTACACCGTATGCGTTCAAATATAGAGCCTAAAATAAAAGTGTGTTTAAAATGGCACCTCAAACAATCCGTATAACGACGACTGTTATAATTTCATCGGAATGACATCCATTTAATCAATTAACCCCTGAAATGCTTTAGTATGAGCACCTGCTTGTAATATAAAGGTTATGAAGTTTCCAGGGCAATGACTCTGTGTAAAATAATTAGCACTTAGTACTTTTACTAATCCCTATGTTAGTTAGTGGATCCCGTGGGATTAACGTTGAAGAGAATTATTAGAGAGAAACGCTATTTGCACTATACATAATGAATAATATTGTATATCCCTAACAATGTTGTATTATATTAGCGAGTTTGATGAAATTTGTAATTTGGAACAGAGAGGAATATAATCTATTTCAATCCAGATTAATTGACATGTCCTCATCATGTGGATGAAGGTGCTAGTAAAAACTTGTACATTAATAAATTAGAGTCCTTATTTCGTATTACACTTAAGAATAAAAATCTCAACAGGAAATTTTTATTCTTTTTGTTACTCCTAATTTTTTTCTACTTTATTATTTTAATAAACATTAATCTGGATGTCAAAATCAGCATTAGATGCTGGCTTTGATCGTCTTATTATAATGTTTTTCAGAAATTTAGACTTGAGGATTTAGTACTTAATAGAGTATATACAAAAGAATATATTTTAATTTTAAATATAAACTAAGCTAAAGATAATTTCAGAAAATATTGTAACAAGTGAAGGTAATACAGATACAATTTGTTAAGTTAGGATGACAGTTGAAGATGTAGAGAAGAGATTGTTAACTAATTAGAAACAAGACTTGGTTATAAATACTCGTATATAAAATATCTAATAAATTGTTCACAGAGATCGTTGTGTAGAAACACATATTATATTTTTATACTCTAAAGCACGATAGAAGATTCGATTTTGTACATTCACTCACCAACTAGGAGTCAATGATGACTCTGTCTGATACTATGTTATATTTTGCCTTTTGGCAAATAATCATCAGATTAGACTTCAGATTTTTTATATGAGACAAGTAAAGTGACAAGATCATAAGAGAATATACTCAATTTGATGTGCGTCACCGAATAATCAGGGAATCTACTTAGATATCATTGAGCAAGTTGATCATTTCTAGTAAGAAAACAAAAAAATACGCTTTGATATTTCAATTATATTGAATCAAGAAATTTTCTTTCTCTGCGATAGATTCCGTTATCGCGCATTCCTTTTTCGCTTATATTATTGTATGGCTTTATAAAAGTAAAGAGATATATATTATTTCATCCATGTCAAACTCCATTGTGTTACTTACTCATATTTTACAAAAAAAAAAAATGTAATGCATAAAGCGGACTCAATGCTATATAAAGCACTGATTTTTATTCATAACTTCATTCGCATGACTGGGATACGTTGATTGAGATGAAAAGAATGTTAAAAATACCTGTAAAGAAAATTTTACTTAGTTATTTGAGATAATGTGAGCTACAAGTTAACAAATAAACAAATTCATTTTCACACACTTCAAAAAAGGTTCTTAAATCATTTTTTGTTTGTTATTTCATAACTCCCTTAGTTGTAAACCTATTTTGTAGTTTAGTTTTTAAATCAAAGTAACTAATAAAAATATTAATAAATGCTATCAAAATAACAAATCTTTCAGATGAAAAAAAATCAAATCGGTTTTTAAATAATAGATAATAATAATTTTGGGAAATGTGAATTTTGGAAAAATTAAAATAATAATAATAATGCATCACCCGAAATCGTCAGTCATGAGGCTGTATATCCCGCGGAAGGCTGGTGGTCGAGGCTTGTTAAGTGTTAAGACCATGCACAACCGCGAGGTTGACAGCCTCAGGACATATTTTCTGGAGAAAATAGACGAGGGTTTGCATAGAGAGGTCATAGAATGTGACAAAGGATTCACCCCTCTTTCTCTGGCTAAAGAGGACTGGCGAAAACCCGAAGTTTTGGGTACCTCTCAGCGGGAGGCCGTATGGAAAGAGAAAGTTGCACGGAAGGTTCTTCAAAGCCCTTCACGGGCCGTACGTAAACACGAAGACCTCCGTGCACTGGCTACAGTTCGGTGATCTCTTCGGAGAGACCGAGGGTTTTGTCTGTGCAATACAGGATCAGGTGGTTAAGACGAACAATTACCGAAAGCACATTCTGAAGGATGGCACTGAGGACATCTGTCGGGCATGTCGCCATCCCGGAGAGTCACTCAGACATGTGCTTTCGGGTTGTTCAGCTCTTGCCAACACTGAGTACTTGCACAGGCACAACCAGGTAGCCAAAATACTCCATCAAGAGCTAGCTCTGAAGTACGGCCTCGCGAATGAGAGGTTGCCGTACTATAAGTACGAGCCCCAGCCGGTCCTCGAAAGCGACAGCGTAATAAAAATATTGGGGCCGATCCAAACCGTTCTTGCGAACAAACCTGATATCGTGGTGATGGATCGGGCACTCTCGAGGGTGTTTTTGGTGGATGTCACCATACCGCATGACGAGAACCTCGTGAAAGCCGAAACCGAGAAGAAGAGAAAATATCTCGACCTGGCTCACGAGGTGACCGAAATGTGGGGGTGACATCTACCGAAAATCCCAATCGTTATGTCGGTGAACGGTCTTATCCCAACCAGTCTGGAACAACATCTCAGACGGTTGGGAGATAAAGATGCAGAAATAGATTCTGCCCGCATTGTAAATGTGGGCCCTGAACCCCGGCCGACTGTGCTTCTGCCGGGGGTTAGTTGCCATCTCCTCTCCTTAAGAGGGGAGATGAGAATTTTAGTGAAATTTAAAAAATAATAATAACTTTTATTACAGATAACTAAGATTCATTTTTGTTAGTAACAATTGACTTAAAATATGTTAGTAGAAACAAAACAAATGATTTTATGGCCCCTATAATAATTTTGACCCACAATGATCGGGCTTTATTTTGTTCAAATATAAAGTGATATTAAACGGGGTTTTGTAGTAAGACTTCTAAACATGTATATAACATCTGTCTATCGTAAGTTTAACTTTTTATGGTAAAATCGTAATAATTAAAATAAGGTTGTTGTAGATTTTATATTTTTATGAATAATGTAATAGATCCCGCGGTAGATACACTTTTCTAACTATAACTCTTATATTATTAGGAATCATTATGACATAAGCCACTCGACTACGCCCCGATGTCAATTTATGATCGATTGAGGCTGGCTGATCTGCGTAAATTGACTACTTAAAATACCGACATCCATTGTGCTCCACTACACTTCGGCCGTATATGGAGTGAGCGTTATTTTAGAGCATTTAATAACATTCCACTTTAAAAGATTTTTACGTCATAATATTTTTTAACGAGGTTGGTGTTTTTTGCTTTCTTTAATGTTAAAGTCAAAGGGTAACGAGTTCAGCGAATGTTTAGCAGTGTAAACTGATCCTTAATAGCAAAAATTCTTATGTTGGTCTTTATTTTTATCAACATCTTCAAAAAAGACAAAAGTGTAAAGAAATAAGTATCTACATTATTTTTATACAACTTAGTATAGAATAAACAAGCTGACGGTCCACTTGATGGGAAATGGTAACCGTCGCCTATAGACATGAGCATTACCATGGACATAACAGAGTATACTTTTTGCCCATAATACCCCCCATACGTTGCTATTTCTGAGGATTCAGGTGTTATTCCTCTGTACCCTGTAAATTCGCTGTCATATTCCACCCTTCAAACCGAAACACAGCTATGCAAACACATCTGTTGAAACATGAATGGGACAGAGGTGCCCAAGCAAACGACTTTTGTAAAAAGTCTCCCACTGGTACGAAAATGATCAAAATTTGTCAAAATTTCTATTTGTGACCGATGGAATAAGAATATCAAAAAAGTATAAACTAAAGATGGAGTTAAAATAAAAAAAAAAAAACAGCAGAGAATGAGAGTTATGTTGAGAAAATAATGCAAAAACGTAAATACTATAGATACCTTTCTAATCCAATATAGCGATTTCAGTCGTGATAAAATTAATATGACACCAACATAGCAGTAATCCTTAGTTCTCAAAAATGGCAACGAATAAAGGGTGTCATGAGCGACACAGTACTGTTATGTCCATGTTCTAGTATAGTCATGTCTATAGGCGATTTTATATTTTCCATCAGGTAAGCCGTCAGCTTGTTTACTATAAAAAATATTATCGTTATCTTATTTATAATAATAAATGAGATATTTATTATGAATATTCTTCATTTTAAGACTACTTGAAATTGATTATGAGTGTGTTTAAGTAATAAAAGTATGTGTTATGGTTTGTTCTGTACAACCCAGATCCATAAGACTCCAAAGACTGCAAAACTTTGTATAACAGCCATTTCCGTGGATATCTTTCTTCTAACCATGTTCGTTTATGAAGCAATGTACTTACATGGCTGTTTTGGTTTAAAGGATAGGATATGGTTGTGAAATTACGGAGGGATAACACCACAGTCTATAGAAATAGGGACGCATGTAGAGTACCATGGTATCATAGTATATTCTGTAATGCTCAAAGTTCAAATATTTCTGACATAAATAATTATTTATATAAATTTATAATTATTCGGCGTTACTTTATACCGATAAAGATAGTAGGGTTTCCTCTGTCATGCTGGACTGAAATCGTGTATCGAGTGTTACATTCATTAAAACGAAAATGGTCGATTATCGTCTCTCCAGCTTACATTCTATCCGGGATTACAGTCATTAGTTCGCGTCACCGAGATATTTAGATAAAAAGTAGGTTATACGAGTATCTTTCTCCATCGAATACTAAATTTCATAGTGATAGGTTAAGTCGTTAAGACGCTATGAGTTAACAAACTGACTTTTGCAATTATAGTATTAGTAAGGAATGTAAGGATTTAGTTATTATTTTTTACATAATAACGATTTCAAATGTAATAAATATTCTCATTTATAATTTCAGCGCCGCTATATTTAAAAGCTACAATCTTGGAAGCAAACAAAGCGGAGTGCTACTGGAAGAGTGATCGATTTGAACCAACAATATCAGCAAGATGGGATCCCAAAACTGCGACTGTTAAATTGACTGTTTTTAAAGCTAATTTAGATAAAGTTAGCATTTACATAAGTCTTGGTTGCAAACTGAAAATGGGAAAAAAGAAATACTGGGCAAAGCAACGATAGACACCGAATCTCCGTACGCGGATAGCTGGAGAGAATGTCTTACGAAGCCCGGTATACCCAAAACGTTTTGGGTTAATTTTGATTAGAGGATAACAATCTTTGGACTCGAGATTAGGATTTTGACTAAATAATAATAACTCGTTGAGAGTTATTTCTTTTGACTGTTTAGGTTTTCAGCTGCTTTTAATTGTATTACGTTGTTGTTATAATTTAATTAAAATATTTGTATACAGGGTGAAATTGAAAACATTGTTGTCCTTTTTAATGTTTTATCATTATAATTGAATATTCCATAGAAACGTAGAATGTTCAAAAAATTACACTGTTCATACTGACAAGGCGCTTTAGTTGTCACGTTAGTTTGGGAGATTCAAAATGGTTTGTTATTTGTCGACCATTCTTTCTTTTAAAAAAATGTTCAGATTTGCTAGTATAACGCTTTTTTTTTATTTCAGCTTGTATAAATTATAACAACTGTTGTGATTATATTTTCTAAACGATAAAAATTAATATTTAATATTGTTGCTTAAATCACATAGTTTTGTAAGTTTTTATACGTGCAGCACTTTGAATTTTTGTAACTTACGTATTAAATTATAATTAAGTATAACAGATGGTATATTTTATTATATTATTTACCCTCGAGATAAGTAACAAACAAATTTATCGAATATTTTTTTGTAACGAAATTAAAAGAATTAAAATCCAGACAACGCTGACCCGTTCTATCTCATGCATGCGGCAGCGACGTGTGTGTCGATATATTTGTTTGCTATTAGTATAGAGGAGTTGTTTGATTTTAAATACTTATTATAATGTAAAATATGTAGGTCGGTTACTGACATATATTAAAGAAACATGTTTGCTAAAATGTTTACATCATTTCATACCTAATCTAACCGACAAGAGAAGCTTGCAGACAGCTCACGTTACACGTATTTAACGATATAATAACGTACAATGTGTTTTTTTTTCATAGGCAGATATTATTTTGCTGTTGATTTTGAATTTTTTACCTAATATCACGCAGTTTCAATTGTTTTGTGATTGTTGCTTCCCTTGTTTATTAGGCGGTACAAAAACTTTCTTATATATATTTATTTAAGGTCCATTGTAAGATATTATTATTTTTCTAAGAAAGAATACAAGTATAAGCTCTCTTTTTTTGTAACATAATTAATATCACAATGTAGTCTTAAGTGAAGATTATATTATATACTATGTTAATCATGTTTTTCAATTATGGTTATAAAATTCCTTTAATTTAACAGTAAATATTGTAGTTACTAGGTGTAAACCACATTTCAAGATCTACTAGATTCCACCCTAGTACCTAAGGAGAAGTTTGTTCATACTCACCCCCTTTCTTATGGATGGATTTATAAAATTAACCGCACTTGGAGAACTTGTACCTACAAGTCTGCTTAAAACTTTCAAATTCTACGTTACTACGAACTTTCACATTTCTGATATGAATTTTGTGTAACTGTAAGTTAAAGGTACTAAGATAATTATGTTATTTGTATAATGTTAGAATTTTGTATTAAATAGGTATGTAAGTTATATATTTGTTACATATTATTTATCTCTTAATATCTATTTAGGTATATAATATATTGTAGCCTATGTGTATTGCTTTTAACTGCCTTTTGTTATCTACAAATGTTACACCCGATCGGTCAGGCCGATCTCTTTTTATTATAAAACGGATTAGTTACAATCCAGATACAATCATTCAATTCTGTCCAAATTTTTGATATTTTTTTCTTCAAATCGAATTCCTTCATTTTTACTCAATCACAAATTTGTGTCGATTTTAACAATATTTTACCTTCATATATGGTATATTCTATAGATTTATATGCCTACTTATTGCCGTACGATTTACTAATAAAAAAATTGTTAAAAATTTACTCAAATTCCTTAGCACCGTTTTATCTTTCTATAAATTTCGTAAACCCAAAAATTATTACTCAAAGTTTTGAGAAAAATACCAAATCTGGTAATATTGTGTGCGATTGACCAACTTGCCTACTATAGTCTACTTCAATAAAACTTAATAATTTTTTTTTTATTCCAGTAAACTAACTAAAAGCATTTTTGCCTACTCATTTTTTTTTATTTTATGCTCAGTTCCGAATGCAATTGCAGCTGAGAAGAACGGGCAAGAAACTCAGCTGTTGATTTTTATAATAAAAGTTATGTATATAAAATGAATGAATGAGTATACTTTATTTGCATTCTACAATATAGGAAATAAGCAAGGCAATTTACAAACACAACGATACAATTGTATAAGTACAGTAAGTCGGTCTTATTGCTGAGAGCAATCTTTTCAAGACAACCTTAAAAAAAATGTGAATAGATAAAATTACTATCACAAATTTCATATTGGTAAATAACTACTATTCATCACAGTATTTTTAAACAGACAGATTAATGAAGATGTACTGAAGTTATGTTAAAATTATCACAGAAATCTTCTTTGAATTAGTAATAAATAGAAACATTAAATAAATTAATGGATTTTTTATTCATAGGTATTCTATCGATATACTATCGGACATCAACACACTGCTTTATGGTCGGGTAACCATTCGTCTGTTTTCATTCATATTAAGTTCTATTGAAATAGGCTATAGTCAACAATCCACCCTACCGATCTCGTACCAAAATCAAATCGCCCATAATCTGTTTTGGTTTTGAAATTAATTATGAATTTTAAAGTGATTCTCCTTATAATTTAGATTTGTCGAGGAAGATAAGTCGTAAAACATAAATAAATATTTAATGTTATTAAAGTAGTCTCTAATCAAATAACACTTCACAGTCGGTGAATACAAAATGAAAGATCGGTCTTAAGATAATTCCTTGAACCTTCGGTTTCAGTCTAAATATGTATAAGTACATTATACATTGTACATTATGTACTAATGAAATTAAATTAGACTGAGGCCGAAGGTTCAAGGGGTTGATTTTTTGTAATTTTGGTAATGGTAAGTAGATAACTAATAAAATACCTAAGAGTACCTAATCTTAGTTTTTGGTAATATAGTAAACCTCTTTGCAAATGAAACGAGCACTTTTGAAGTTAAATTAATTAAAAGCAGTAAAATGAAATAAATATTACTTATAAAAAAAAGTAAATTAATTTGTATAATGTTGTGATATATTTATTTATTCGAGTTAATAAACTTATCCCGTGTTCATACTGCCTAGTGTCACAGATGTTTAGTCTTTTCAGTACAATAATCAATTCATTCGTTCGTCGAATCTTGATAGTTTTATTTATATATTTAATTCTTTATTGTATACATCAGTTATAAGAATATGGCAGAGATAATCAAATGTACAAAGGCGAGCTTAACTCTAATAGAGTTTTCTTCCAGCAAACCCAAAGTGGAAAGAAGCATTAATGCCAACAGATAGAGCAGTGTACAATATTGTGACAATTTTTAAACAGACAAAATTAAATTAATTACATTATATTTAATCATACAAATACACATATACATATACATAAATATATACCTACATCTATGCATATACTTACACACACATACACATATAATATACTTGCATATATAGATAAATAAATATATGTTCATAGAGATAGAAGATGCTCTTTAAGTCTACTCTTAAAAATATTGATCGTACCTATATATCGTATATATTTATCGAAATTTTTTAATAATATATATAAATAATTGTATCCCGCGGTTTCCTAAAAAGAAATCAGGAATAAGCTATAATTTAATTATTCAAGAAATAAGCTATTAAAGCTAAAAACAGTTTTTTTTTAAATCCGATTAGTTGTTCTTAATGTTAGCGCGTTCAAATAAAAAAACAAACTCTTCCGCTTAAATAATAATATAGATAGAATACATGATAAGTGATTGATAATGCAACCAACACCGCGAATCACAAACAGTTTATTAAATTCGCTTTAGATGTTAGCTATATTACACTATCAAATTTATAGGACCATAGCATATTTAGCAGCTATACTTCGTGTAATGTACTATAGTGAGGATAACAGCTATCGACATTTCTTACTGCAAAATATATAATACAATCTGGCGGATATCTGAACATATAATAAATAATAAAAATAAAAAATAACAAAAAAAAAATTATCATCTAAACAAAGTGTCAGTACTGTCTCATAATGAAATATTTTCTGTGAATTAAGTACCAGTTTTAATTCATAAAGTTGATGAACTTATTCTTTAAGTTTCGTCTTAATTTATTGAAAATTAAATATTTTATTGTATGCAACTTAAAATGGCAAACAAGCTGACGGCCCACCTCACGGAAAATGGTAACCGTCGCGCAATTATCATCTAGAGTTTTAGAATATCTTTTATGCCTGACTTAAACTACCAGGCTTTGATAGATATAGGTATATAAATAAAACACAATTTTCTTTATTCAAATAGACTTTTTTACAAACTCTTTGGTATGACAGTCGTATATATTTTCTTTAATGTAATTTTTTTTATTTCATATAAAAAAGTATATTACAAATAAATCGGTTCCAAAAGAGTAACTGCTGAGTTTCTTGGTGCTTCTCCTAAGTAAATTCTAAATCCAGAAGTAAAATCATAAAAAAATGACAGTTTACTCACCCTGATGAAGACATTCGGGATGAAGTCGAAATAACGAAGAAATTTGAAATTTTTCCTTTATTACGATGTAATTCATAGGTGCCTAAGATATTTGATAGTGTAATTATACCCTACTAAAGGATACATTAATTGAAACCTTAAACGTTCATCGAACGAGGGAGAAAGGAAACAATAATAGGTGACACAAATAATTGACGTTGGATTGGACCTATATGTATATATATTTCTATATACTGAGATAACAAACAAACATACAGCCGCCCTTAGGGTTCGCCGAAGGTAGATGTTATAGTAATTTTATTACTTGTGCTATAGTCTGACTCGTATTTGTAGTACTTGTAATGTCGTAATTGTAAGTTGTAGCATTGCATGCACAATGCCGAATTTAAAGACACGTTTAGTTAAACATAAGTAATTAATTATTTAAATTAGGTAATTGGTTTTTATGTAAAGTACAGAATATTGCCGATACAATATGACAAATTTTTTTTTTGCTGTTGAAAACTTTTAAGCAAAATAAGGTGGAGTTCATGGCACTTGGTACCTATTTGGTAGATCTGGTTACCCTGAAATCTGAATAGATTTACATATTTCTATTTGCATTTTATAGGGATTAGTCCTCTGTTGATTCTATATTAATTTGATCATAATTCAAATAGTTATGTTTTTGTGTAACGGATTGTTGATGTAACGTATGAAAATTTCATTGAAAAACTTTCACTATACTTATTTGAAACGGCCCGGTTTTTTACATATTTTAAATTCAGTATTGGGTCTTAATGCAACGTATATAGTACCATATAGGTTCACGTTGCGTTAAGAACCAATAATTTTCAATCGATTTCAAAAAATAAGGAGATTCTAAATTCAATTGTATTTTTTATGTTTGTGACCTCATAACTCCGTCATTTATCAACCGATTTTTATTTTATTTTTATCTAAATTGTAACATTTCATGTATTTCTAATTAATTATTTAAAAAGTGCTCGGTTAGCGAAGTAAAACGTTAATTATAGAAAATATTGCATACAAACATACCATTAACAACATTGCACCTACTTCATACGAGTATATTGCTTCGGAATTCTTTAAATACTTTTATGCTATGAAAACCCAAATTTTCAGTGATAAATTATCACTAATAAATAATAAGAATATCATGCATGATTAACGTTTTAGTCAACTAGCAGCGCACTTTTTAAATAATCATTTAAAAATATTGAAAAATCTTCAATTGTTTTTGAAAACTGACAGATAAGAAAAACGTCGCCATAATTCTTTATGAATGCTCTTAAATTACTCCTATATTATTGCTAATGTTTTGACGTGGATTGCATTAGGTCTTGGTTAGTTGTATTACTACTTATTTGTAAACACGTCACGATAGGTTTCATTTTTATATATATATTATATTTAATTATAGGTAGGAAAATGAATTTACATGTAAATTCAGCTGTTTTATTTGATTTTTATTCTAACGGAATAATTAGGAAACATCGGCATCCATATATCTTGACAAATTTTGTCATTTATAAATAGTTATAATAGGATTAATTTTGGAACGTCATCAAATATAATCCTAATAAGTAGGTTATCCTTTCATGTATTTCTATAGGTCTATCCTTCGTATTATGTACCTACCTACTCGTATTTAATTATCACGGAATATTTATCAATAGCATATTAGGAATAATTAGCCCGACGCTAGCGTATGATAAAGAGAAAACGGAATCGAAAGTATTCTTTGGGTAAAGGACGTTTATAAATAGATTTAATACGGGAGAGCGGATATAAAAGTATATGTATAATAGCTATAATAAATAATAATAAGCTATATCTATCTACCAAATACAACCATTTCAAAATTAATGGGTTTCAAATAAGTAAATAATAAACCTGTCGGGAAAAAAGGTGATTTTGTGGTGTTCCTAAGTATTTCACGAAATCCTTAGTATCCTTATTTTTTTTAGAATTTAAGCTAGTTTATATTTACTGATGTTTGTTACTAACTGATAGGTACCGCCAATTATTGAAAATATGGTAATACGGCATAACGACGACGTTACAGTATCAATCGTCCAACAAAATGATTTGTTTAAACCACTAACAAACTAAAATAATGACCTTACCGTCTCAATAATCTTACCTTACGACCTCTTTGATTGAATTGTTTTAAGCTACTAGTCGTGGTGCCATTTGGTTTTTTCTAGAATATACGAGTACATTAATATAAACTTTAGTTAAATGAAATAAAATGTATATAAGCATTTTAGTAAAAAGTAAACACTTTTATTGTTGACTTTTATCCACGTATATCACGTAGACACATTTTGCTCCATTTGGGTGTTTCGTTCTTTATTCAAGTGACCATTTCGTATAAACAAAATTCGTAATCACATTACGTGACTAGAAATTTATGATTGGTGTGGAATGTTTGAATGAAAAAATAAAATATCTATAAACCGATACAATGTTATTTTCAAAATAGAACTCCATCGGACCTTTCCGGGTACGGTACGGGATATACTTATTCGATGGGTTTGTGGCAATTCTACCCTTATGGAAACGGCGTGGGTCCATTTGTAGGAT